GGAATAGCCTCAGCTGCTACGGGGGGGTTAGCGGGAATAGCCTTAGCTGCTACGGGGGGGGGGGGCGTTGGTAGACTGGCCCGGTTGCCCGGGAGGGTTATTAACCACGCCGCTATTAAATAATATACAAGGGCATATATATATGTCTCTACTTATGCTAAACCTAGTATAGTAGGCTATAGTAGGTCACAGAATAGAACACCAGTGGACACGGCTACTAGGTGCTAGTGGGAACTGCTGTCCCGGGCATGACATTAAATCTGCGTCCAATTGTACCATATCTTGCAGGCTTTTAGTTCGTGGCCTTTTGAACAGGCTTGCAGGCTCCGCGTCTCGCTAGCGATCGGTCATAGCTAATTGTCGCCCCTCCCGACAGCGGCGCCCCAGGGTGCTCGCCGTACGGAGGATGCCTGCTATAGTTAGGGCAACCTTTGGAACCCCAATGATGCTATCGGCAGAAGCGGCTCGGTAACGTGCTAGGGTAAGCCCAGCAGCCAAATACTTCGGTAGATGGCTTCTCGGCGCCGCCCTGGCGCCGCCCCTTGTGCAAGAGGAGAAACCGCTGAGAGCATGGACGCCGCAATGGTTGAAGTCCTCCAGCAAATGGCCTCCTGGCTCGCGGCAGAGGGATGTTGGGTTCTGGGGGCTTTAGTGGCCGGATCTTAAGGTATTGGGATTTAGCGCTTATGCAATGCAAGTGACGATAGTTTTGTTAAACTAATGCTCTCTGTATCTTGGTATGGAAGGCAGGTGTTGAGAGTGGCGATTCTGAGTATTGTAGCTATTGCCTAGTATATTTGGTATAGGCCCTTGTAGGTGATTAGATTTAATGGCTATTACCTCCCTTATTATGTAGGGTTATGAGCTATAGTATATTAATGATGAGAAGTTCAAATAACTTAAAACTTTTGTATTTTAATATACAAGAGGTATGTTAAAAAGAACAAATCTGAATATTATAGCCTTTTACCTTACATAGTTACCTTTCCCTTTTTTCCCTTTTTGTGATAAGCTGAGCTCCTATAGTATTAGTATTAGAGGGTTTCCCAAGGGACAACCCTTGTGTTAGGTTTATGTTGGCGGATAGGCCAGGCTGGACTGGCGGGCAATTAACAAGGAATAGTAAGTAAGGTGTTCACATAACTAGTAGATAATACTCCGTAGGTATAATTAAGCGTTATTTTGTATCCACAACTAGCCATCTAACTATTCTAAATAAGCGTGGAGAATGAAACTTATATATTCAGCTGTGCTAGACTGGATTAATAAATGATTTATTATTACAGCCTGATCCAGAATTGAGAAAATACATTATAAATATACCCCGGAAGAACACTAGATCTAAATAACTAATTAACACAGGATCGACGAATAGATCGTGAGCTACCCTAGACGGATTACCTTTGTGAAAGTGATCCCATACTCAGGCTTACGATCCCAAAAGTAAGCCACCAGGAACGACTAGATATATAAGATTCGATTCTCTACACTCTTTAGATAAGTTAGATAGACAGTCGTTAATAAAGCATCAAGATTAAATATAGACTAAATCTTTATTACATCTTACTCACTTCGTAATTACATCTGCTCAAGGTTACTTCCTGTCCTCTCTGCTAACATAAACTAATCGACCTTAGCTTATTACCTTGGGAACTACCCTATACTACTAGAGCATTGGGTCGGGACGTCACATTTATCGATCCGTTCGTGGATCGATATTTGTTTTATTGATCCTGCGTTGGATCGAGAGAATGTTTCTCGATCCTCCTCTGATTGGTTAGAAGGATTAACATTAATCCAGCTGTGCCTGTTGTGTAGGCTCCCTGGTTGCGACTATACGTGTTAGGGTGTGACGGGGATCTTAAGCCTAGCGTTATTAATCCCGTGGTAGATCCCCAGGACGAAGCATAGGCAAGAGGTTATGCACGACGAATCAGTCAGAAGAAACCTGTCTGGGTTGAAACGCCTGTCTCAAGAACGGCCGAGGTAAGGTCATCCCCAAGCGCAAGGGACAAACAGCTCAGCCAAAACATAGCCGGGTTAAATCCACTCCGGGTGTGCGAGCAATCTTCCTAGGTCAAGCCTTCTGCTATAGGGCCTGCTTCTTATCTCCTTGAGCCTTAACCATAAGTGAAGCGCGGTTTACCAAGGGCCCAGGGGCTTCAACTGGCATAACACCTCGACCAGACTGGAATGGATACTACTGTACGTTGGCAGAGCGCGGTTCACTCAAAGCCCAGGGACTTAATTAGTACAGTACTTTAAACAGGCTAGAATAGATGCTGCTGTACGTTGGTAAAGCGCGGTTCACTAATGGCCCAAGTGCTTCAACTAGGGAGATAATTACAAGATAACTTCCAAACTATTTCTAATAATAGAATAAGAGACATAAGATAATTATAAATAGTTATAATAGCTTAAGTGTTACATAATGCAGGAGTGCCCTAGATGTTTATTAACATAAATAACTGGCTTCTCCCCTGGAGCGTTTGCTTTAATCTCTCCCCCTTTCTCTTGTCCGTGCCCTCCTATAACGCCATCGATGGAAGACGAATCTTACTCTGTGCTGGCCGGAGTCCCACGGTTGGTCGACCACTGGTGTCTCCGACACGCAGTCGCCATTACTCGGGGAAATCCAGCCAGCTTACCAAGCCAGCGTTGCGCGGACGCGGAAGGTAACCTTGAAGCCAATGGCTGTTGACACACTTGCTCAATCATCCCGCTGACATCTTCCCTAGACGGCGTAAGATTCCCGGACAAGTGCCAATACTGCGCCAGCGTGGGTGGGCTGTGCATCTCCCTCTTCTCCCTCAGCAGCTTAGGCGCTCACTACCCCCCGCTGGTCATCAAGCTCATTAACGTCATCACATGGGCGACAACAAGCGACCGCGTAAGTATACGTTCCGAGCGAAGTGTCTGGCGAGGTATAACTGGCCTTAAGTGCTGAATCCTCGTATACTAAAGTTACCTAACCCCGTCTCGCCCGAGCTTGTCCAGCTGGGCCTTTTACATAGTCGCCATGATGCAGTGGGACAAATCCAGTTGCTCCTTACACGCACGGTATGCCCCTTGGCTGCACGTTGCCGCTCTTACTATAGGACTCTAGGTATACCCTTAGGGTTAACCTCTCGACTGACACGATATAGGACATCCCGATGCCCATTGCCGATATTCTCAACCCCGCCGAGCCGCCGAGCAACGATGAGCCTTCTGATCACGAAGAGCAGATGCCCAGAATGCTATGCGGGGAAGGGCAAGACGAGCTTGGCTATGCGGGTGTTCCAGATCTAGACCCCCGGGGTTTCTACCGCCTGTCATCGTTTCTGCCAGATGGGTATGAGTCTGATGACTCGAGAATTACGTGGGATTCGGAGAGCGGGATGCCTATTAACAAGAGAGGCGATTAGAGTAGCGGACTTGGGTCATGATGAGCAGTCGAGTAGACAAGCTTAGGTGGTAGTACACCTGTGGCGGTACCCCAGATACGAGCCATCTAATGGGACCGCAGAAAAGAAATCAGTGTCTAAGAGTACGGCTGCCTTTACATAATGCCTTCCTCCCGGCCCCAGGCCGCCGGTTAACGGCCAGCTGGTGTAGAGCAAGTGATCTGCTGGCGAGGTAGGACATTGAACCTTTTCCTATTTGCTTCCAACCCATTTGCCGTGTAAAAAGCCAGAAGTTTTCTGTTAAATGCAATAGAGAAGGCAGTTGTCAACCCACTCCCGTGAGGAAGATCGCGAGGACCCTCGACGAACTCCATCGAGCCGCCTCCATGGAAGGTGCAAAGGTCATTGCGGCCGTCGGCAGCGGTGGTCTCGGTTCTCTCGATTGTCTGATCAACCAGCCAAAGAACGGTGGTGGCGTGGTTGGCGCCTACGGCTGTGCGGTTAAGGAAGCCCCGCGGAGTCTCTTCTTGGAGCAGGCTCTGGAACGTCGCGTCTTGCAGGCCGGCGATCCAGCCGGCATCGTATTCAAGGCCAACGTGCTGGGAGGTCATCCAGTCACCAAAGCTGAGCGACATGGGGGGCTTTCGCAAGGGCCAGAGGCTGCCTGGGGCAACTCGGAGCATAACGAGGTCGCCGGCGGGCTGGATGGCGACGATTGATTCGTATGCCCATCGCAGAGAGTAGGAGAGCGAGCGGGTCCTTTCGAGAGAAGTGTGATGGGTGTTTGACTGGCGCGCCAGTTCGACGTAGTGTCGGCGCAAAGCCCGCCTAGACTCTGGGGGAGGCGTTCCAAAGACCGGAATCATATCGCCTTCGGCGACCAACCTGAACGGCTTCAAGGGCGGCGTCGACCGCGGTATCCCCCGTGAAGCCGGCAAGTTCAAGGCCAACACATTCGCTATACGCCTCATCGAAACCGTCAGCCTATACCAGTCAGTTGCAGCTTCCCCTGGCCCTTGGGATCTCCGGGGGGCTCTTTGACGCGTCGGTCTCGCCTTGTTTAGGGGCCCGGGCCACTAGAATCTCGCAAAGTTCAACAACCATGACACACTGCCCTCGTTACCAAGAATAGACAACAACCACAGGGCAGTTTATTACCTCGAGAAGGTACTTTACAATGCCAAGTATACACTGGTCCGCTGCATATTACTGATAAAAGGTTTTACCTAAGCCCCTGTAATAAAATACCCCTCATTTGTAAAGTAATCACTGGCTGAATTATATATACTGTCACATAACTGTCCCAAACTCACCGCTATTCCCACTCCATCATCTCCCGCGTTATAATTATCACCATACCAGTCAAATTCTTCAAAATGTATAAACGCAAGCTCGAAAACAACCTCGCTGTCGTACGCAAAAGGGCCAAGATAGACTGCCCCGATATTACACCAACCCACTTCGAGTATGCTCTCCGAGCAGCACCCACGACGCCATTAACACCAATAGTTCCCGAGCCCTCGAAGAAACGGAAGAGATCAGGAGAGTCTGAAGCCGAAGCTTCCGGGGATCGAGAAGTAAGGCGAATCAAATCAAGCGATAGTGGAAGCAGCCGGTTACAATATCCACGCGTCCTGTCACCAGCTTCCAAATACCAGATATTCTCCAAGACCGAAGACAGCAGCGAAGAGGAAAGCCAAATCCTAGGTCTTGGTAGATATTGGAAAGGAAGGAGAGCAGCCCGAAGCTTGATACCTAACGACAATTCAGCAAGCGCGAGCGATATAATAATACCCATCGATGTTGTTCTGCCGATACGCCTTGCTAGGCCGACGATGCACAGCCCGGCCCGAACAAACCTTGCTAAAAAGAAGAAGAAGGTAAGAAGCAAAGTAACGAAAATAACGCAGCAAAAGATTCCAGAGACCAGCTAATAAAATACAGCAGCCACTTAGGCAGCAGCCGCCCAAGCAGCCAAAGCAGCAGCCGCTTAAGCAGCAGACTAGAGAGAGTGATAAATCGCAGCAGCCACGCAAGCAGCAAAACAAGTGGTCTAGCTTTTATCAGTTCCACCTACACAATCGGCCAAGCTTGGATGACGATGATCACCCGGATATGATCATACGGTAAGATCGCCAATCGGGGATCGAGGAATAAGTATTAGTTACCTGAGCGACATATCCGTTAACCTGGCAGGGCCGGGGGCAGCGGACAGCCTTCAGCCATAACTAATCAGTGTATTGTAGTTTACCTATCTTCTAGCATGGTCGTTAATCTGACAGGGTCGGAGGCAGCGGCGCAGTTTGAGAAGGTAATGCAATGTAGCTGAGACGATAGACATGGTCGTTATCCTGGCAGGGCTAGGTGCAGCGGCGAAGTCTTCGTTGCTTATGAGTAGATCCCCTTAGGTTGTGGGATAATAACTATCTGGCTGAAGAAAGGACTGCGTGTAGTTAGGGTTAGTTGTATAATACAGTGAGACTTTTATATTTAGTTATGGGTTAGTACTAAAATACTGAGGGGTTTTTAAGTTTATTGCTTACGGTTAGCTTTGCGTAAGACCTTTACCTTTCCTATTCGGATTAATATTCGGCCCGCTATGTATACCTATGGAAAAACTTACTTTGGAAAATTAAGTTTATCTTATAATTAACATTCATCTCTCTTTAAAAAGGCAAGAAGACTGCACAAGCAAGCATAATAGCATAACCAGCGGCAACAGTCTAACACATATCCGTATCATTTACACAAGACCCGTAAATCCTAAATCTTAACAACAAGGGTCCCCCTAAGTTACAACATTAAGATATTCAATCTTCCTCTTCCACCCTAGACAATATGCAATCGGATAATCAGGATTGGCAAGCCATGTCTATGGCTGAGCTACGAGAACGCACCTTTAGGGCTGTAGAGGCCCAGAAGAAACGCAAGATAATTGAATACCTTCAAGCTCAACAAGAGAATGATACCATAGACCTTGATCCAGCTATCTTGCAGGACTATAACAGCAAACTCGCACATAAAACGAAGAAACAAAGTAGCACCGTTTGGGGGAAGATCCAGCTGCCTACCCCATCCTTTAAGGGCGAGACTTGGATGGAATTACAAATCTACATTACCGAATTAAACAGCCACTTCGAACTTAGATCTGGTCAATTCAAAGACGACAAGCAGAAGATTCAGTATGCTAGCAACTGCTTGAAGGGGGTTATGAAGCCTAGATGGACCTGCTATTATAACGGGGATCTCAATCGATCATACGGCAACATGACTTACCCCGAGTATCTGGAGTGGTGTGAGAGCTGTATCAAAGATGCGGATAATCTGGAGTGGTGTGAGAGCTCTAGCAAAGATGCGGATACCCGGTCTTTGGAAGCAACTGCAGTGCTAGATCGCATGCAGCAACGAGAGAATGAACGGTTTCAAAGCTTCTTCTACCGCTTCGAGATGACCCTTGGCGAGATTCCGGTCCCGCTGCCTGATGAGTTCCGGATTGCTTGGCTGATACAGAAGTGCTTGCCGGAGATTAAGAAGAATATCCTTAACCAAGGGTTCCCTGCTACCTGGCAGCAACTTCGCAATAAGGGGATAATAGCAGAGATTATTTAGAAGTAATTAAGGGGGAATTACTACTACTGCTGTTACTACTGCTACTATACTATATAGACGCTATAATCTGCTGAATTAATGATAGGACTTTGTTACCACAACCACAACCACCGGTTATATCCCCTTTATATAGGCACAATAACAATTCCGTTCCCAGCGTTAACATATGCTAGAGCAAAGGCATAGAGCCATTTATATACAATAATCAATATCCATTTATATTTTATTAAGAATGTCGATGGGCATGTATTATAAACGAGGTCGGAACATATTTAGCGAAGAATCACACCACAATCCAGCCAGCAACACGAAAAGCTATTATCCAGGAAATACAAAGAATTCCCAGTTTAATCAAGAACCAACAACAATTAGCAGAGTATCCGTTGCCAGATCGAGTGCCACCCATCCCGCATGTACAGGCACTAAAACGCGATGGGCTACGGTGCTGCACATACCGATATGTTACACGCGAGGTTAGGGTTATGCAACGATATTATAGAAAGCATCACGATTGGGTTAATGATTAGATGAAAGGTAGCAACATTAAGGCCAAGAAGCAGGAGGCACGACAGTTACCCTGGACTCAGGGAATTTGGTGCCAGAGATTATTTCCCAGCCGCGTGGCCAGCAGTTGGTTTGAAGTAAAGAGGACTGCTGACATTCAGTTCGGTATTATTGAGAGCGTACTAACGGTAAACGAATAGGATAATAAAGAGGGAACCAACTCGGCCGCTATGTTAGACGCGTTAAACGAATGGGATAATATGTAAAAGCAGCAATATATAGTGTAACGGACCGGTCTATATTAAATAATACAAAGGAGATTCTTATAGTTATAAATAAGCAATCACCCAGGCTGTTCCTTATTCCTGGGATTAGACAGACACCAATTACCTAGGCTATTCCTAAAATTGAATAAATACCGATCACCCAGGCTGTTCATAGGACTAAACAGACACTAATTACCCAGGTTATTTTAATCAACGGCTAAATAATACAAAGGCGTTTAAGGGTCCTGTATAAATAAACTGTTTGAGATGTTCAATT